ATATTTTAAAAGATTATCAGTTTGACGACTTTCTGAATTTTTTTATTTTCGGCATGTTTTCTTTTCTGTTTAACACTTAAATAATTTCTATTTTATCTCTACTTATACCTGTTGCTAATGTTCTAAATTCTAGAAAAAATAGACAATATAACTTGAAAATTTGAAAAACCTACTTGTGTCCGTAAAGTTTATGTCTCAAGTATTAAAAGTTATTATGAATATAACAATGTTTTTCTCTGCTGTTTTACAGTAATGGAGTAATAAACGAAGTTAAAATTAAGGTGTTTTAACCTTATTAAATTAAAAAAGTACTATTAAGCAGCATAAATTTGTTCAATGGAAACATTAAATAGCTTACAATTTGCTTAAGTGTTTAAATTTTCCGTGCTATGCAAACTACGCTAATCTGACTTGGCGCCTAGTTTTGTCGATATTGCCAACTTACAATTTATATTATAAAAACTATTTTTTTAAAATATTATTTTGATTATTTTTAAGGTAATTATTCTTTTATTAAAAAACTACTAATAGAAAACTAATAAACACAAATATATTTGAATTTATACATTAAACAGTTATTCTTTTCGTAGATCATAAAATCAATTAGTAGCAAAGTTGTTTCAAGAAATCAAGATTTATAAAATTTTTCCAGTGTACTTTATAATTATAGTTTAAAATTAAGTTTTACGTTGAATACAATTTGTTACATTTTAATTATGAAACATTATTATGCTGCATCCTCTTAACCCGTCGGCACGCGCGTGCTCCGTCAAATTTAAATTACGCGCGCTCGGTCAAATAGGCACCAATTTAAAAAATTAATTAATAAAAATTTAGCNTTTTCTAATTACAACTTAAATAATTTCTATTTTATCTCTACTCGTACTCATTGCAAATGTTCTAAATCCTAGAAAAAATAGAAAATAAAACTTGAAATAAAAATGAATTGAAAAATAATATAATAACTAGAAAATTTGAAAAACATACTTGTGTCCGTAAAGTTCCTTCCCAAGTATTAAAAGTTATTATGAATATAACAATGTTTTTCTCTGCTGTTTTACAGTAATGGAGTGCTGAACGAAGTTTAAGTTAAGGTGTTTTAACCTTATTAAATTAAAAAAAGTACCATTAAGCAGCATAAATTTGTTCAATTGAAACATTTATTAGCTTACAATATGCTTAAGTGTATAAATGTTCTGAGCTATGCTAACTACACTAATCTGACTTGGCGCCTAGTTTTGACGGTATTGCCAACTTACAATTTATATTATATAAACTGATTTTTTTAAATGTCATTTTGGATATTTTTAAGGTAATTATTCTTTTATAAAAGAACGACTAATACAACACTAATAAACACAAATATATTTGAATTTATACATTAAACAGTTATTCTTTTTGTAGATCATAAATTCAATTAGTATTGTTATCAAAGCTGTATCAAGAAATTAAGATTTATGAAATTTTTCCAGTGTACCTTATAATTATAGTTTAAAATTAAGTTTTACGTTGAATACAAGTTGTTACATTTTAATTATAAAACATTATTACGCTGCATTTTCTTAAGCGCGAAGCCCGGGACGGTTGCCCCAGTTGTCCGGCCCTAAGGGCGGCTGTGATGCAAAGTCTTAAACGGTTCGAGGAACGGACGACGACTGCAAATATCGAGGTAATGGCGACGATTCCTCGACTGCCCGTTTGGTATTATTTTAAAAGGATGAAATCCAAACAGCAAGTCGGGAGGTTACGAGAAAGTGTCGTCTTTTACGCTGAGAACTGAAAAGACGAACTGCTCCCAGTTGGGAACGTTGACAGAAAGTAGAAACATTACGTTGTGATTCAGTTATGTTATTAATAAGTTCGGATTCTCACCATTATTTTAGATTTTAGGTAGAATAATTTAAATTTATTTGTTTATTAGTAAAATGTGTTTAAGTAAATGCTTAAAAATAAGAAATGATACGATTTAAATATATTTTAGTAAATTAAAAAAAAATTCTATTAATCGTATTTTTCGAGAATAGGTTGGTCGGTGGTATTTTATATTTCCCAACACAAACATTTATACAGAGGATTTATACATACATATAATGACTATATTTTTGAAATGATTATATTTAGAAATTTTTTTGATATTGGTATAGAGAAAAAGAAACTGTCCCCAAATATCATTAAAATTCATCGTCATCGATCTTAAGAATCCTTATAGTTATTGCCTTATTCCATAATTAGAACTTGGTAACATTTAATTCAAAATAATTGGGTTATGATATAATGCAAGTTTGATAAAAACATTTGTGAGATCCGAATAGACCTGGGACAAATTAATAATCTAATTATAAATTTTGAAAGAAAATATTCTTTCATTTTTGGGGTGAAAATATCGTTTTTCTAACGTGGGGAACGGATAAAAAGTCACTTCCTTTAACGGAAGTTGAACCATCTTTCTGTTTTCCACTTATCTATCCAAAATCTCAACACCCTGGGAATTGTCGACCCCTCGATAAATCCCGTCTTCCTCTATTCACGTGAGGAAATCCTAAACGCTAATTGAATGAGAAGTGAAAAATATAGTCAGAATTTTGCATGATTCGAGGAGTACGTCAGAAGATCTCATAGAGGAGAGAAGTATATCATATTTGCTCCCTAAGGCCAACGCCCTTAGTTAGGAGTACGCATGAAGATCTCATAGAAGAGAGACGTATTTCATACTTATACCGAATGTCAACGCCTTAGTCATTTCCCGCATGAATGTAATAATGAGTTAAATTAGTAAGAATAGAAGAAAATATATAATTATGTGCCTTGCAAGACTGCTCCATTAACTGCAGTGTAAGAAAACAACGAAGTGAAGTATAATCATACAATACAGAAAAAGATAAAGTAAATTGAGGTAGTATGATTAACATTGAATTTGTGAGCTCTCTCTCTCAATCGTATAATCTGTCATTCGCTTAATTTTAATTTATTCAATAATTCTATTTTTGTATAATATTGTTTATTCTGGTTTTATTAAATTCCTTTATTATTTGTTAACGAAATGTCTCATCATTGAATAAAATCCGTGTTAACCTCACTAAACGCGTGTTAATCCGCGAATCTAAATTTAATTAACCGGTGTCGGGAATCCTGACAAGGAAGAGGTAATTACATGATCATTCTATTCCGTTTAAAGATTAAAATATTAGTTAAAGCCCTCCACATTCAATTTTCCTTAATTAAGGAAAAGCCATTATTGTTGACAAACCGAGGACTATTCTCACGGAATAACCGCCGATTAAGTGTTACAAGAGTAACAAACTACCCCGTATCCCCGACTAGTTCCTCACAAACTTAATTATCTACAACAATACATAACGGGTTTTATAAAATAAATACTTTTTATAAAACACTTTAGCTGCAAGTTTTATTTGTTCGTACATTTAGGCCTATATGTAATATAGTTTTTTTATGTAAAAGACTTTTTCTCTTCCTCTACATAATCTTTCTCTAATTCGGTGTGTATTCCTACAATCTTCAAGTTACTCTTCTGTCTGATTATTTCTGTTTTGATATGATTCGAGACCGCAAAAATTCTTTCTTACGCTTTGGCATTGTTTTTTATATTTTTACTTTTCACACTTCACTATTTACTTTTCACTTTCTACTTTTTTCTGTTATTCGTTCACTTTTCCTTATGAAAAATCAACTAGAGTATGTGCCTCACACGTCTCCGAAATCCATCCCCATTACTCATCCAACTACTAATCCAAAACATTTTCGACCATTCGAAAACATTTAAGAATAATCCTTTGAGTCCCAACTCCAATTTTATTTAGTATTCCTTTCAGCGTTGCATAATTTGGCTTCTTTGCGCCAAAGTTGGCTACCCTTTTTTTAGTTTGGCGTAAAAAATCTCATTTGGCGCATTGGCTACTTTTCGCGCTACATATTATTTATAAATATATTAGTCTAATAAAAATGCACTTTAAAATAGTGTTTTGTCATTTTTTTATTAATTACAGACCCAAATAAAACAAATATTTGTGTTTTTCAAATAAATTTCTGTTTGTCTACTTTATAATAAATGATTTTATATATTTCTAAGTAAAAATTGAAAGTGTCTGTAAAAGTAATTTTTTAAAATATTTTTTTCGTGATAAAAATTTAATACTTATTAATATTCTCTCTCGTGATTACTAAACCATTAAATGTATTTCTTCCATAAGCAATTCTGCTTGAAAACTGACAGTCCAAATTATGAAATTCTCCACTATGTCCTACAAATATTTGCATTATTTAGCATTTCGTCAAAATATCAGTGCGCACTATAATCTGTTTATCACATGTTAAATCTTATTCATATTTAACGACTGGACCACAAGTATATAATATACTTGTGGCCCAAAAATTCATGACATCTTCCAATGTAGTTCAGAGAAACAAAAAGGTTAGACACTCCTGTTATAGAACATACAGATAAATGCGAAAATAGCCAATTACAATTATTGCGCCATTTTGTAGATATAATATAAACAAATAAGTAATTATACACCGTTATACGACAGAGTTACTTCAGTTTTCCTTTTTACATTGTGCTTCAAAGTAACCTAAGAAACTCCACGTTAACAGTCCGTTGATGAATTCATCGAGCAGAATCCAGTGATTTTCTTTATTTGACAACAACTGGGTATTGTATACATATAAGTTTAATAATAAAGTAGTATTATAAAATGATAAAGTTTATTTAAGATAAATATATAATTATGTTTACCGTAGTACCTTAAATATTTTTTATATTATTTTTGGAAACTTAAATTTACAGAATTTAATTTCAAATATTTTATATAATACAATATGCTGATAGAAATACGTAGTACATAATTTATTGATTGGTTATCACAAACACGACAACTCTTTCAGAAAAATTATGTACTACATATTTGTATAAGTATACTGCATTAGACTATATATTAAAAAGTTTAACAGCTAATTAATATATTCACAATATCTTATTTCAGTGTTGGATTCTATGGGGAAGCCTTCAGCTGGTATGTTAGGTATAACTCCATGGATCAGGGGCGATTATGATCAGTGCCTGAACATTGATAGTGGACGCAGTTCTAAACTCAGAAATTCGAAAAATATTAACGGAAAGTATTGCGCAATCAAATTCGAATTTTCTGAAATAAAACCTGAAATTGCATAATTAATTTTAAACTTTAAAAATAATACAATCTTTCAGTTATTGGAAAATATAGCTGTAAGTATAGTAAATTTGTTTAAACTGTAAAAAATAATTTATCTACTGTTAAATTTAAATATAATTAATGTTAAGTATGCTAGGAAATTACGTTTAGAAATTTCCTAGCATACTTCAAATGTTCTTATAATTATTTTATTGAATATAAATAAAACTTTAAAACACTTAAAAAACCCAAAAAATCAAATATCTTTTATATGAGCACCTTTCAATTTTTCGTCTTATAGACACTAATTTTTTTTTACTTTTATACTCATCAAAGTTCTGTTAAGCTCATAAAAAAGCGGCTGGGTGGTGAAGGAGGGATCTAACTTTCTGTGGAAAATTCCCGAGAAGTTGCTTGCTTTTATTCCGTAGGGCGATAAACTGATCCAAGTAATTTCCACTTTAATCTCAAGATTGACGAGTGATATAATTGAGTTAGCTTATCGTCTGCATCAGGATTTCATACAGTATGATCGAAATGCTACTTCCGAGTTTAAATCTTCATTGAGACTTAAAGACGAAGTACAAAATCGATATTTGAGAAAAAAAATTATATATGAAATTGTGTTAAACAAGTTTAAACTTCAAGGTCTTTCTTTCTTAGTTGAATGTAAATATTTGACATTGTACCTAATTACTGCAATCACATGAAACTCGTTTTGCTGTATTGATGTTAACAGAGCTCCTTTTGTAGACCTTTTATGTGTACTTAACACGCATTCTAAATCATGATATCATCCAATATACTTTATAAATGCGTAATTAATGTATACGCATTTCGGGGCTATTGCCTTTTATCAGAAACGGCTATAATAAGACAATAAACCAAATCAACAACCAAATGAAATAAAACAAACATTCAAAACTGTGCTTACCTTTATATCATCTATTTAGTAAAATTATATATATAAATTTATCGTTAGTAATGTGAATATAAATAAATAGTGTAGTGTTGCCGACTTCAAGGGAAGTACAGTTTATCCCGCGTTAGAATGAGTTTAAGGAAAACCGCGTATGTAAGCGGTGGCGAAGGAGGCAAATGAAAAACAAGTGTTTTACAAGAGAAAAACTGTTTATTTGGTCGAATTCATGCTTACATCGATATTAGACAATTCCAAAACCTCGGCGTTCCTTCGAAACTGTGAGAGTTCGAATGATCGGTCGTAGCCCGGGCGGAGGAGAAGGATCGCTGGACGATACAGATGTTCGGTGTTAAGCTGCGGCGTCCTAGGTAATGGGCGGTAGCACAACACAGTAGATAAAGCACAACTGTAGGCTTAATCCAGAGGAGACTCTCCTTCGATTTTAAAGTTTCGATTTGTATAGCTTTTTCCCCACTACAGTTTCTCTCCCCACTATGGAAAGAGAGACCAATCCGAAATTTCCATTTCGAATTGGTCTCTCTTCCGATTTGAGGTGTCCATTTGATACCTCTTTGTCGACTCTGTTCGGTGACTGTTTATAAAACAGTAACACCAGCACTCATAACTCAGGCCGTTGTTTATACCATTATTTGACGTCTAAGAATTTAACGATCATTTTCATCTTTCATCTATCAAAATTTCCCTTATTTTTGTTCGAAAAAATTTATCTCGGCCTACATTTTATAGATTCGCGAGTCAATGATCTTCCTATTTATGAGTGCTCGTGTTAGAGTTTGTCGTCCGCTAAGACCTTAGCAGATAGCTTGAGACATATTCGAACAGATTCCAGTCTCGATGTTTACATCTTGTGTCGCGCAAGAATTTCACGGTTTACTCGAGTTTGAAATTCGTCTAGGAACCCACAATATTGATCTTGTTAAAAAATTATTTAAAGTACACCAGATCATTTTTTACCTAAACTGTAGTGTAAAAATATAACTGATTCCACTCCGATTGATTGACTTTCGAAAAATTGTCAAGAATGTAATCGTACTTCAGACGTTCGCCATCGGGTTCCTTCTTATCGGGAAGTCCATTTTGTGTAGTTGTTTACTACTTCCTATCATCTTGTTCGACAACGTTTTTAAAAAATTCTTACATAATCATGTCTTTTAATTGATGTGTGCATAAATTCAAGAGCAATTATTATTCAAAGAAACAAATAGTAAATGTATATAAGGCACGAATACATTTCAAATTGTTTTAAAATTGGAAACTAGCGGTGTCGCGTGCAACGACAACTGACTGTACGCTACGATGTTGTGAGTAACATTTTGCCCGCATTACAGTTTTCGTTTGTTGAAAGTGTATAAAGATGGAAAAGCAATTATCAACGTTTCTTATAAAACTCCTTGAGGAAATAAGAATAGGGTGCTCAGTTTATTTCTTAATTGTTCATCATTAATTTCTAAACCGAGCAAAGCACTTTGAAAAAGTCTTTTAATTACATTCGTTAGAACAGCCAGATGTAAAAATAAGCAGTAATGCAACTACATAATAATATTTGTACTGTATTATATTAACTATTTATCAGACTATATATAAACTGTATTGTCGTCATTATATTTTCTATTAAATGCACTGACATCTGGTATTTCTTAAATTCCGCTCGATGAGAAATCCAGAGTTTATTATGATGAAGTATAAACAACGTTTATAACAATTAAAAGAGAAAAAGAATGGACATATTGAGAGAGGTATTTAGGAGTGTGGTGAAATAATTGATCATGATTATGCATCTACAATGAATTGGAATGAATAATAGATGACGTCGCTGGCTTTGCTGAAAATTTTTTTTTTTAATATTACAGGTTGTGAAGTTTGTATTGAATTGACCAATCATAAAATTTATCAACCTGTAGCAAAGTTGACTGACCTGAAAACAAAAAGCAGACTCACATACCCAAAGTCATTTCTTATTTTACTACTTACTCAACTTGAACAATAATTATTTGTCAGCATGCTTGGTGATAACATTCTGAATGACATTGCAGAAGCACTGTCGCATAAAAATGTCACTTTTTCCATTTGAAACACATCAAAATAAAACGATAAAATATTTTGTACATCTAAAGTCAAGGGAATTTGCCAGACACATGACATTACATTACAAGGAGTTTAAAACAGAAATAAAAATAAATAAAATTTTTTTCCTACATAAAACACTTTTTGACATTATGTATATACAAGTTTAAGTTTATATTGTTCAAATAACCCACTATTATAAATTATGCTGTAATAAAATATATCACAGAAAAAACTTACATGCCAAACCCAAAACTGCTGTCACGTGAATACAAAATAAACCATTCGTAAAGAACACTTCTGAATAACGGACACCTTTTTTAACGCACATTTTAAATTTCGTCGCAGAACTTCTACAGGACAAATGTAAAAAGCTCTGCTTTCATTGTTCTGTGATGCTTTTAGTTTTCGCTATACATTTATCTCTTAATTAAACAATAATTACACTTCAAAACATATTCGTATGTAAACTTTTTTAAATATGTAGTATTCTTTCCAATACTTTTCATTACAGATGCAACGAAATGTGCTAAAAATTTTCTTTGAAATTCAATAATACAGTAGAGCGTCGATTTTCCGAAAGTCAATCATCCGAAACGTCAATCATCCGAAAGAATTCCAGTCGGCAAATTTAAATTTTCGTCAGTGCTGTGGCGCTTCAATCTTTGGCTATGTCTTGGGCTACTCAAATATTTTACGTTTTTGATACTAAATTAACTTCTAAAGTATAATTTTTTATTGTTTTTATATTTTTCAATACATTTATTTTGTTTGTACAGAATAGAAAAATAATTTTTAACGATACAATAGTCTTTGTTAGGCTTAACATCGACGAAAATTCAACGCGAAGCGACACGCAACGATAAAAATTTCAACATCCGATACATTAAACTATTTTTTTCGTACACAAATCGGTTATCCGAAATAGCAGTTATTCGAACAACCCCAGTCCCCAATTGATTCGGAAAATCGACGCTCTACTGTATATATGATTTTTGCAGAATATTTCATTTCGGATCAGCATTATTCGCATCATCTATCAGCAGCTTACATTTTTAAATATATTTTCGTATGTTTTGAAGTAAATTACATGATTAAATCAGTTTATGTAATGATAAAAACTGGAATTAAATACAAGTTGGTTTATTAGTCGATTTTTGCTGCGTAATTAATACGGACTCTCTCTCGTAAATAAGAAACAATACGTCTGGATAAGGAGACAAATGACATGGCGTTTTTAAAAACATACAGGCCATGTTATTAGTTTACTCATACAACTGTATAAGAACCATTTCTCGGGTGTATAACGCGCAGTGTATAACATCGTTTTTATAAAAATACAAATATTTAATGTTAACCACGTGAAAAATGTACATATACATTTATTTGTATAATAATGTATTTTATATAGCATTATTTTTTTCAGAAACCAACGTCAATTTCGAATTTATTAAAAGTTTCAAGTTCTTTCCGAGTAGAGTTTCGTTTCGATATTTGCATCCCGAGTGATTGCCACGAAAATGATTTAAGTAGTATTTTAAATTGGTGTAAGTATTTTCATAATATCAATATATGGTAACTTAAATACATATTTTATCAATAAGTTTATTAATTAATCATAAAAAATTTCTTACAGTGCTCGGTAGTGAACTGTCAGCTAGAGTTGATTATTGCAAAGAGAAGAACCAGAAAGTTGTTTATTCCACTGCTCAAATAATATGTTTGTAAGTTACACATTATGATTTGAATATTTCCTCATAAATTAAAGTTGAAGTGAATACATGGTAGCTACACACTAAGGTGTTCATCTAACGAGTGTTGAACAAAAAGTTTTATGTCCATGAGATAACTTTTTAAATATACTTGTCATTTATCTCACTAAAGAAAACGCGAATGTTTCCACGTTTATATTGTTTATTACACACTTAAAATTTTTATTTATTCGAGAATTTGCAAATACACTTGTCATGTCAGCACGACAGTTTGCTCATATCAAATTTGCTGTGGGTGAATTTTACGTGTTCGCTTCAGCATGTATTTCATATTACCATGATAAATTTGAAAACTTTTTCAGGTTCCATTTTAGCCATAGAGCCTAAAATAGAACGATCATTCATCATTCAATTCATATAAAAACGTTTAATGTTTCATTGCATTAGATATACTAGTAATTTTTTAGTAGTTTCATACTAAACTCTTCATTTTATATAGTAATGAAACAGAAATATTCTGTTGCTTCTAACAGTTTATTTTGATATTTAATATTATTATCTTTTTACTTAATATATAAATTAATTAAATTTAAAAATACAATAGCGTATGTGAATTAAAATATATATATATTATTTAAAACAATGTCAATCGCGATACAACGTGATGAGGAAAAAACAACTTTTCAGTTAGCCTTGACAAATTTCTTTGAATTTCTCGTATGGATTTGATTTCAGACCATATTGTTTTTTGTCATTATTATTATATAAATTCTTACTAAAAATACAAACGTATGTAAAATTTATAAAAAAATTATATGACTTTCTGCGCAGTATATTATAAAACAAAAATGACAACTTTGTACAACCCGTAAACACGTGTTCTGTAACTTACACTTCAAAGTGGCATTAGAAACTATTAGGCATAGCTTTGGTTATCATAATTTTCGAATGATAATATCAGCAGAATTACAGAAACAAAAACAGGATACATCAAAGCAAATTAGAAATTTTTATATTATAAAGATATAATATATGGGAAACACTAAATCATACAACAGTAAGCCTACGTCAATCTGAAATTTTAAAATAGAAAGTACAGTAAGTAAATTAACTTTCCTTTACATTTAAAGCAATAAATAAAAATTGCACAACTTTTTCATGAAAAGTTTCTGATATAGTTAATGCTGCTCTCATCGAGAATTTCCATTACTAGCATAGCAATTATAAGTAAGTACAGCATTGAAAACAGACCATTAAATAAAATTTACATATATTAAACTGTTTTCAAATTAACTAATGTACAGTAGAGCATCGATTACCCGACTCAATTGGAGACTGGGGTTGGTCAGATAATTAAAAAGTCTGATTACCGAAAAGTATGAAAAAATTCATTATTAGTGTAGTATATTATTATATCCCATGTAATTAGTATATTAGTATATCGCTATTAACATACTTCGCGTTGAATTTTCCTCGATGTTAAGCCTATCAAATTTTTTTAAAAATTATAATTGTCGCTATTGCATCGTTAAAAATTATTTCTTTATTTTGCACAAAATAAATACAGTACTGTACTGTACATTGAAAAACATTTAAAAATATACAGCCAGCTAGTATTTACCCTACTATAAACCCTTCGCCTCCTGTAAGTTTTATGAGAATGTCCCGGGAATCCAACACCAGCTGTTCTCAAGATCATCCAGCTGTAAACACAATGACTCATCAGTGTCAAATTTCGCAAAAAGGCAAGACAATGGAAAATAAAGTTTGAAGCTTTTTCTTCAAAAGTAACTCATTTCTTTCGTTATTTTTTCAGTTTTAAGTATTTATTATGTTTAATTATAATGTAATTAGAAATTGATCGGAGAGGAAGCGGTTAACAAGAACATTTATTAGCTTGCGCACATCCTAATTGGATCTTACACACAAGACATCCGCTATCGTGAACAATTGACGAAATAAAAGTGTACATTTATCAGAGAATAGACAAAGACTCAGTTTGTAAACAATTTACCTTTTGTATATACAACTGACACTCGATTTATAGCAGTCTTTCAATGACTGGACATAAAAAATGAACAGATGACGCTTAACTTAAGCGCGGTTTACAAAACTAATATGGTTAATATTAACACAACCACTCATAATTAAAAAATTAAGCCAGGTTTAAATACTGGCTTCCCTTTCATGGACGAGTCAGTGTAGCCAGTTAAAACACGCAAAAATTTAACAAAAATAATATTAAAGTAGCCAAGACATAGCCAAATATTGTGATGCGACATCACTAGCGGACATTTGAATTTGCCGACTAGAACGCGGTCGGTTAACCGAGGTGACGGTTAATCGGGGGGTCGGATAATCGATGCTCTACTGTACTTTCATACCTAAGTCAAACTCGTATTATAAAAGTACATCAGCTTTTTTTTGTGATGTTCTTACAAATTGTTTAAGTATAGGCAAATATTACTAAAAACACAAAAAGGAAATTGTTGAATCAATTCGTAATTGAAATTCACGACAAACAAATATTTTGGATCTTGCATATTGTGTCTGTTCTTTTGAAATTTGACTTTTAACGAGAAACACATCGTGGGTTATCAGACAAAACTCACGGTAAATAAAAGCAATTGTCAAATCATACTGTCATTATTTAAAGATAAAGTTAATTACAGATTATTATACATCGAGAATATATTGAATTACAAGAAAATAAATAGGTACTCGATACAACAGACACGATCACTTTCAGTCGTTTTTCCAGTAAAATAATAATAAAGTTTTAAATTTTCATTCCACTTACAATTTTTCACAGGTCGTTCTTCGGTTTCTTTTCAAGTTGGGTTGTCCTGGCAACTTTTGTCGAAACTTTAATGGAATTAGGCATTATCTCCTCAAGTGGTAAAAGAGGTCAGAGAAAAATCGTAAATGTTACTTACTATTTGTTCATTTTATACTAGTATACTATTATTACAATTATTATAGAAGTATACATATAATTTCGTTTGTCAGTTTAATACAACAAACGAAATAAGGTTCTTTTATATACAGTAATGTCGATGTTGAACGCATTTCAGTAACTGCTCCAAGCAACATAGACTACGCTAGACAGATGAAATTTCAAATAAGATGTATTAAAAAAAACAGAAAATAAACTATTGTTAAATTATGGTTTTTGAATCTCGGATATTTTCTTACATACCTTACATTAAAGTGTCTATTTTCAGTAAAGTAATTATGCTACAAATTTATTTCGAAACTTGTCATTAAAATTTTCATAAAAAATCTGAAAGAATGACCATTTCTTGTTATGCCATAGAACTACTGTTAATATACAACTACCTATTCCTTCGATCTCGGTCATTAAAAACTTTTCTTCTTTCTACTCACAGCTTAATAGAAAGTTAAAGAAAAACTTCGATAGAAAATAATTTAATACAAAAACACAAATTATTTAAAATTTAATAACAAAATTTACTTAGTTACTTATGACTAATAAACAGGTATATTACAAACCCGCCTGTTTAATTAACTCACCCAAAATGCATTTCGACCTTATACTAAACTTGGCTTATACTAGACTTGCTTAATTAATATTGTTGTGTTACTGTTTTAGTGATAATTTAGATTCTTTTTAATTAATGATGTGTATTTAATAATTTATAATTAATAAATACAAAGGAGGTGTGTTACCTAGCATATCTGGAGCACAAAATAACACACCTCCTTTGTAACTCCTCCCTGCATCTTGTAGAAATGTCTGAACCTGCAACTCTGTTGTCCTACTGCTTTTGCACCCTGTTCGTCACGTTACCATGCAACATTATGAAGAAATATTACTCCTGTCTATAGTGATAAAGCTTACTGCTCATACAGTCATGGCGACATTTTCACCTTTATATTGCATAGCTTTAGGCATGGTTTTAAGTTTAATTTGAAATTTTTTTTTCACCTTGTATAATTTCTTAAGTATACTAAAACCTCTCGCTAATACCAACTGATGAAAGACTATTTTCTATTAATAAATAGTCCGAAATGCATTTTGGATTTTTCGGTTTATATACTTATGTAACCATTTTAATGTACACTCCTTTTTGTTTTATTAAATGTTTTTACTTCGATTCTTGAGCGTTATGCTCATTATCATTGATGTGATAAGCCCTTACTATTAATATTATCTGCCTCACGGTTATAGATATTATAATTAATATATTGTAATGTTGACAATTGTCACTAAAGGTTCTGCTTTGTGTATCTCAAAATTGATAAGAGCCGGCATGAGCGATGCATTTTGTATAAGTTATTTAAGTAACCTGGGTTCTTAGTCTGTTCGTTAGCGATAAATAAATAAGTAGTTTTTATAATTAAATAACCCAAGCAGGAAGATTGTTAATACTGTATATGTAAAATTTCTTCATCTCTAAAACAAGTGGACTTTTTAAAATACCACCTAAAATAGAAATCGCAGAAGGTAATACATTAAAATCCAAGATTAATATTTTGAAAAGTATGAAATAAATGGAAAGTATGAAAATAATTTCAAAATTATTTTAATGTTTGACCTATTTTTAAAACTATTTACAAAAACCTTTTTATCCGAAAATAAAGTTTATCTTTATGCTTAAATGTTTTCTAGAGAGCAATAACTTTAATGATGAATATATGTACTGTAGTATATATATGTTATACAAGTACAGATAATTTTTAATTATAGCTGAAAATTCTATTACAAGACTAATTTTAAATATTTTATATTTAGATATTGCCACAATGAATTTAATCTTCGTTTCGTTGTATCAGTCAATTCGTAAGCTACGTTCTCATTGTATAAGAGACAGAACTGCTGCATTCTGTGGAATGAAGTTTTCTTTAATGTGTATATTAATTTTTTTTCACATTTTTGTAATGCTCCCTAATGAACCAGTAGGTAAGTTTTAGGTGTCGCTTCTTCTTGTCTTAATTTTGAAACTTTCTTCAGAAAATTATTTTACATATTTCGGTATAAGTGCTTTCGCTTAGTAAGTAGAGGGTACTTGAAGTAAAATATTAACAATTACATGAAAAAGGAGAAATTACTGCAAAAGGGTAGCAGAACTGCATTGTTTGAAAAGTCACAACTGTATTGGGTGTTATTGCCATGCAGCAAATAGAATGCAAAAGGTAGGGCTTTACCCTGGACATTGATGAAGTAAGAATCCTTATAATCTGTTCATTATCATTTACCTTATGTTGTTTAGTATAATAATTTAGTTTCCTATAGTGTTGCCAATAGGTATTTTGTCCTTGTGCGTACTTTCTATCTGCTCTGTAACATGCAGGTTGTATGGATAATTACACAGATGACAACACCCCATTGCGAAAAGCATAGTAAATTACAGCCTTCTCATATCAGACTTAAAATTTATTGAAAAAAATTGCATAAAACACTTGGCTTTTTTATTCAATTAACTCTATAAAATATTATTTTCAGTGACAAAATGTTAATGTTTTATTAAAATTCTCATTTTGCAATGTACAAACATGTAAATCCATTTTATTTTTAATAAAACATTTGTCACTTAATGCAGCAAATTTGTGTTTCACTTTAATTTTTTCGTGTCCGTATTAATTTGAAACACACCTTAGTTATCTCGGTTAACCGCGTGGAACTTTCAGCCATTAAAACACCACGTGATTGTATTTTCTCACGTGACTACCATACGAACTGTTATTCGCTGATAGAAACGCTTCTTGGCAGCGGTTGCCGCAGAAGATAAATTTCAACAAACTTTTGCCGCACGAGAAAAGTGGCACAAAATCGACTTCTGCGGCGAGAAAAAGTGACGTCATCTTGCCGCGTTTCCTTGCCGCGCCGCATGTGTGCACCCGGCTTTAGGGTACATCATGAGAACGCACACTAACAAGGGAGTTTTTGCATTCTGTGAAAACAGGTAAGATTGGCTGTAATGTAATAATCTTAATCGTTGCTATTGTTACTTTTTGCCCAACAACGTCGGGCTTATCTGCTAGTTTATAGATAGATATTAATAGTAAAATAAATCATACATTATTGTCTGATTCAGGAAATAGAAAAAAAAAACAAATCTTATAATATAATCGAGATGGGTCGATGATAATAAAAATAACAATAGTAATAATCAGCACAGAGCCCAAACTGTTAAAACTGAAATTTGAAATTTGGTACATAGAGCACGTCATTAGAATGGAGACTAAAAAGGATTTTTAAAATTTCTTTCCTGTGGGGGAGGGAGCGGATTAAAAATTATCCTGAAGAACTCGTCTTCTACTGTACTATTTTAAATGAGCTTTTTTTTGCATTTCGCGAGAAATCGAACAAATTTTTAGATTTACCTCAGAATTTTCTAATTGTCTCCGAATAAAAGAATTTAATTTTTTGCACCCAGTGAAAACAGGTAAGACCGGCTATAATCTAATAAACGTAATCTTCGCTATCATTACTTTTTGCCCGAGAAACGCTGAACTCATCTGCTAGTTATAAAATATCTTATTTTAATCAAATAATTGATTCATGGAAAGTCTCGTTTAAAGTTTCATAGAGCGATCCGTCATATTTCATCTCGGTTTAGTGTCATAAATCGATGATACCTTTATAGAAATATAGTAGTTGTTTATATCACGTAAACCTTTAAAAATACTCTTAATGCTGACACAATAAAAATTCATAAAACGAGAAAACACAGTGTTTGAAATTCCAAACAGTAAAAACAGAAAAAACACAAACTTATACCACGAATCATTGGTGTACGGGTTATTTTTTTTATGATCGACAACGTTGAAAAGAAATAATCGCACGAACTGAAAAAAAGTAAAGAAAAATAGTTAATAGACGTATCACTCGCTGTAGAAACTGAACAAGAGATAGACGTCAGATTCAATTATCAATATTAATAATACTCTTTGTCTACACAGTAATAGAGAAAATATTATTGCTTTACATCGGAAAAATCATAGTTCACACAAGAATACAGGTTTCTTGATTTTAAATCAATTTTAATTAAAACAATATTTTCAGAAAAGTACAAAAATATCCCGGAGTTGTATGATTATATTCCTGTGGAAATATCTACTGCTAGTTTCCCAATGATGGAGATTTTTTTCTTTATAAGGTAAATATCCTTATATTTTTATAATTATTTCTACTGAAATTAATACATTGATATTTGTTTTCTTTTCTTATAAAATTATCTAAAATATTCAATTTTATATATGACGAACATAATTATATAAAAATTTATATTTAGTGTAATAGTACCATACTGGTGTTTTAGCAAATATATGAAAAATAGTTTATAGCAAAATTTAAACTTTGTAAAAACTTTGTATAAATTAAGTTATTAGTAGCCGTTACGCTTAAAGGCAACGAAATGGTCAGTCTAAATTGTTCTCCGAGTCGTAAGCAGACACTTCATTGTGAAAGGCACCATTACAGCATTATAATTGACTATATTCTGCACTACAAATAATTTTATACTGCAGAATTTGATAAAACATTAATATATTGTTAGTGTAAAATTAAACAACTACACGTAGGATAATTCATAATGTTTTTTTTTTTTTTTAAACAAATTCTAGTGCTTTTCTTCTCTCTTATTCTAACCAGAACAGTGTGAAATCTGCAATGGATATTCTCGTTTTATTGAGAAAGAGAATCATCAGGTGAGAGAATTTTATATTTATTTGTATATGTTGATAATTCGTTCAGATATAGTGCAAGCAAATGTGCAAAATTTGAAGAAAAATTGTTTCAAAAATAAACTTTACTCAGAATCGAAACGAAAGATGGAAATACATTAGCTCACTGGTTATGATCAAACTTTCTTGAGTTTATAGTGCATCCCCAACGACTGACAAGTGCCAAACAGTAAGGCGCAGTACAGAAAATTAAACGAGAAAATTACGGGTGCAAATTGCACGATGTCTTAAAACTTTCATAATTCTTTCTATTTGATAAATGGTTGATGGTTTAGTACAGATGTGCCAGTTTCTCAGTTTTAATGCTAGAGAGTAAAATTCTGTTTATCCTGTGAGTAGCCGGGGTTAATGAGTGCGCCATAACCCGTTTACTGGCGACGGTTTGACGAAAACCGCTCACGTCGTCTGTGGATGGCGTTTTACTTTCGGGGCGCGTTTTTCCGGGTAACGGCATCGGCTTGTCAGTTAAAGTGGGAGGGTAAGAGAGGTCATCGATAAAGTATGGGCGATACTCGAGTAACAGAAGCTATTAACAAACTTAATAAGGATAAAATTTTGATGAAGAACTAAAATCTAAACAAAAGGTTATAGGAGTACAGGTATAATATTGAGGAATGACCCGCGTATTTAGGATTCTATCTATTAATATATATATATATACCGAACAGCAGCTGTATATAATTTTGCAAAGATATATTTCAGAGTAAAAAAACGTGTAAAATTTTAAAGTAAAATCTTCATATTTTCAAAGCTTATCGACTCTATAAAACTTTTTTCGTGTTTTTTAGTATGTTAATACGGACCTTGTTGGAAAGTTCTTATTATGAGTTATGTGGCTTTCGTATACAATATTATTCATTTTTTACTTGCATCATTTGATGACCAATGTTTTTGTTTATATAACTTTGTTTGAAAAATTACATTAACTCCAGCAATATGTGGAATAAATATAACTCTGTTTGGTGAGATACGGCAACACTTGTCATGAATGATGGGCATATGCCTACAGCAATGACTTTATACAAGGTCATTTTCATGTGTTAGTAACATGAACTAAACCTGAAATATTCCACACGGCTAACGTAACTAGAGTCTTTCGTCTCATGAGACATTATCTAGCGATCAACTATTAGAGTTCTGTTGTTATCCTCTTGGACGTTCGTCGGCCTCGAACAATATGTTCTAGTAATGATCGTTATAACTATAGAAAATTTTCGCTTATGGCGACTTTCTCAGCTATATTCTCCTAGAATGAACATCTTTCAATTAGCACTAATTTCAAAATTATATATCAATATCACTATGTTTTTTAGCGATTTTCGCCCTAACTGGCGAATTTGGCAATAGGTGGCGAAATCGACAGTTTTCCATATGCTTCGTGCAAAAATGTCTAGAAAACAGTCAATTGAGTTAAAATTGATTCCGTGACTAAGGTGGCAATATACGAGTATTTTATCGTACCAAAAAACAATTTTCTGCGTTAAGTGCTCTACACACGTCAACTACAAACGTGATACAATTAAGAAACGACTTTCGGAACAACTAAACGGTGCAAAAGACAAGAAACATAACACGCTACAGTCACAAACACTGTTATTTGAAAATGGAAGCGATTTTTATAAAGAAATGGTTGAAGCATTCACCAGTGCAGATATTCCGCTTGAAAAATTAAATAAGATTGTCCTTCGAGAAATATATTAAGACGATCAAAAGTGTTCCAGGTTTTTTATTGTAATTATTTTTTTAATGAAACGTTTATTTTATTGAAATTGCTGCTGCTGTTCGCGATTGTGCTCATAATTTAGATGAAATATGATTTTATTCGAAGTCTTGTTGCGTTATTTTTTTTTTAGCGCTGGGACACATCAAAAATATCCTCAACTCAGTAACAGAAAAAATCAAAGACGAAATTAACGGACAGGATATGACATTTTACTCAATAGTTGACAAATTCATTGACTTTTTTAAATGTACATCATATCACGTGTCTCGCTCACGCCTTACATAACGTTGCATTTAGGATTCAGAATGAGTACAAATTAAGAAATTTGCTTATATCAAAAGTTTTTTGTGAATTCAGGAAAAAGACAAAATTATTTTAAGAATGCAACTGGAGTTAGTAATCTTCCTTCAGAAACAATTGTCAGTCGCGGGAGTTTTGGTTAAACGCTTCAAAGTACCATGTCGATAATTTTGATACTGTTGAGCGCTTCATTTTCAACTACAAACAAAAGTCTCATTCAAATGCTACAAATGGTTTGGTGAAACTATTACAAGAGAAGAAAGTTAACCTCTAGAAAGAATTATTTGATCTCCGTAATTTCGTCAAGCTATCAAATATAATATCACTGGAAGAACAAGGACTCNTTCTTGTATTATCCTTCGAGCATAGATCTTAGGATCCGTCCTTTGATATCTGCTCTCTTTATTCTAATTTTTCTCCAATCAGTTATTCGAATTTTTATCATATGGCTGGTCACTATGACGCCTAATACGGACAAAACTGAAAAAAGAGCCAAGCAAATTATTTATAGATGTATATATAAATGCCTACAGAGGCTCTATAATATTGTTTATAGTATTATATTTTCTTTATAGACATTTTTATGCATGAAGGTTCATATAAGTTTGGTTTTGAAAGACAGGAATGATTAATTCAGTTTGTAATGTTTCTTTTGGGAATTTTTGTTTCGGATTTAAAATAAATTGATTTTCGAGTAACTTTTAAAAAAAATTAAGTTTAAAACACAGGACATTTGTGCATATAGTATCGTCATGTACGAATACATTAATCTCAACTTGTGCAGATAGACGAATACCAGAGTTAGTAAATCTTATTATTAAATCATTGACGTACAAATTTAAAAAAAAAAAAATGAGTTTGAATCTCACCCTGTAAAACTCCAATGTTAATGCAAAGCAGTCAGTCGTTTTAGATAGTATCTTTAATCTTGCAGTGATTTTGGTATATACGTGGAATAAGGCGAAGAAAATGTTCATCCATGCCCATTCTTTTTCATTTAGACCATGAAAATTTTACCTTTATGATTAGTAGTATCAATGGCTGATCTAAATTTCAGAAAAGCAACATAAATTCTTTTGTCTTTTTTTTGAAAAGTTAGCTAAATCAATGCATTTTACACAATAACACAAACACTTAATTTTGAAAAGATCAAAAAGGCCGAATACATGCTTATGTGTCAGTGCGCAAATCGCCCCTATGCTTCGGCACCACGGCACCGGAGGGTCTACACCGGGTTTGCAATGAAAAAGTTCGTCAGGACTGACACCACTGTGTTTTTTAGGACAGACACAGAAACCTTGATAATCTCTAATTTGGTTTTTGAGCCAGCGGTCGCTTTTGTAGGCGCTTAGATCCGAGATGAAGGCGACGCGATAAACGGCAAGGGTTTAGGAAGTGCACCATACACAATTTTGACAATAATAAATATCCGTTTATTAAGCTATTTACTAGTAATCGAAACAAATGCGGTTTACAAGTGAAGAATTGAAAACTATGGTTATCCGCTACTTATTTTCTTCGTGTTAATATTTTTAATAAAAGCTAGGTCCACAATACTAATTCGCTAGTTCTAAGATGGAGGGAGAGTTTACATAGCGTTTACATAGATACCTGGTAAAGGATCTGAGGATGCGTTGTCGATACGACAGATTGATGGAGTTCACGACTTAACGGATTGCTGAAGGAATGATGCATCGATGGTTGAATCGTTGGCGGCAGGAAAGTCACTTAAGATAAGGTATCCGAGAGCATGGGCAACACCAGTGAGGTCAAATGTTCGTTGATCATGGACTCCTCAGACAGTCGATTACCTTGTCGTCATCAGTCATTGCCTTTTATTGAGGGATTTTCTCTTTTTTCTCCATTGCTGGTTTTTTTTTATTTTGGCAGTGTTGTAATGCCTATGACCATTAGAAAATTCTCTTCGCCAAGTTCCTGGTGACACATTCGATGTCTCATCTTGAAAACGAAGTTACTCCACAGTAGAATGAAATTCATATCCGTTACAATTTAAACAATCGTTGGGAAAATTATAGCAAGTTTTAATTTCAAAACTTAAATTTTCACCTGCAAACTTTTTGTCAAATCCGGGTTCTCACACTTAGTTTTGCACTAGGAATACGCTTATCAGTGGTTTACACTAAATAATTAAATTTTCGTTCATAGGGTATTATATCCTATTTTCAAGCACACACACACACACACACACGGCGAGCGCACGTGCGTACATAATATAGGCCTATATGTAAGAATCCGTTGGGATTAATCGCTAAAAGATTATTCGAAACTAGTGCTCGAATAATCTTTCAGCGTCTTCGGATCCGTAGGACCCGCTCAACTGTCACTGGATGGCTTTAAAAAGGAGGGTTTCAACTAACGTTTTAATGGGGAGAGCCGTGTGTAAATTCGTCGATACAGGCTCGTTTCCGTAATAAAATAGGTGAACAGACAGGTTAACGAATAACAAACAAAAGGTTAATAAACAATTATATAGTAAGGATGGATTACAAAGATCTAACTATATCTAGTTCGAGACCTCTATTGACTGAGACAGATTTTACAATTGATTATAATATCTGTAGTCGACCGATGTCTTCTGTATACAAGGAATTATTTTCACAGAGTCCTGGAGACAGCAATGGGCCGGAGAGAGTTTGCTGGTTTCTCTAACACAGCCCGCGCTACTATATGGCAAAGACCAGTCTGCTTTTATGGCGAGTCTGTTCTTTTGTGGAGATCCGTTCTTGTATTATCCTTCGAGCATAGATCTTAGGATCCGTCCTTTGATATCTGCTCTCTTTATTCTAATTTTTCTCCAATCAGTTATTCGAATTTTTATCATATGGCTGGTCACTATGACGCCTAATACGGACAAAACTGAAAAAAGAGCCAAGCAAATTATTTATAGATGTATATATAAATGCCTACAGAGGCTCTATAATATTGTTTATAGTATTATATTTTCTTTATAGACATTTTTATGCATGAAGGTTCATATAAGTTTGGTTTTGAAAGACGGGAATGATTAATTCAGTTTGTAATGTTTCTTTTGGGAATTTTTGTTTCGGATTTAAAATAAATTGATTTTCGAGTAACTTTTAAAAAAAATTAAGTTTA